ACTTTTTCCCTGTGCCATTCCACATTATTACAAATAACTTCATTTCTGGACATTTATGGTTTGATTTCTTTGTATGTATGGATCACTTGGGTTGTTACATCTGGTGAAAATTTCATGTCATTAGCACCTCTAGTAATATATTTACTGAGAAAAATGTTGATGTGCTCAATACTTATTTTACCCGCTGTATGTTTCTCTGTGTCGATGTACCCTTGTACCTTCATTCCTCCATATCTACGTTCCCTGGCACCTAAATACCCCTGTACTCATGCACACCTGTATCTTCATTCACTAGTATCTACATCACCAATGTACTCTTGTACATACATTCATCTGTACTTACATTCCTTGTTACCTAAGATCTTTATATACATTCCTTAGCATCCATGTTTCCCAGGTTTACCATGTACCTTAGTCAGTTGTCATAAAAATATGTTTTAATGAAGCCACTTGTTTGTTTTTGTTTACTGTCAAGGGTTTTTAAAACACTACTGGCATATTCAACTAAATGTGATGAAAACAGAGAAATTGTGCTTGAACTGTAAAATGAATATATTGTTGCATCTACACTGACACCCTTAATAAAGATTTTTATATTCAAACTCATCCAGAATAAGTCAGAATTTTTTTGAGTTCCTGACCTAGTATCTCTAAAATACCTCAAAGAAACATAAAACATTTCCAACGTTTAAGCAAACTAAACAAAACACATATAGTGAAGAGATCACTTGGTGAAATGCATCACAGCAGTTTGATGTGAGACAATTAATGTTGCTGTTTGAGTTAGTAAAAACTGAGCCTGCCCTAATGATCCTTACTGGTGACTTATTATTTATTTACCTTTATTTAACCAGGCAAATCCCATTGAGTTCACCGATCTTTCTCAAGGGCGGCCTGGGCCTGAAGGTACATGTTTTTGGGGTACTTTATCAGTTGTGGCCTCACTTGTCTGTTCTTTGTTCTTCTTTTGTCTCCTCATGTAGTTGGGATGACAGCAGCTCAGTGAGCAGCGGCCTTAGTGACACGTTGGACAATATTAGTACGGATGACCTAAACACACCTGCGTACTCCACTGCGAGCTCTTCCCGCAAATCTAAGGGGGCACAGGTAAGACCACACAGCCGTTCACTACTGGTATCCTACTGGTGTAAATAAATTACCTAAAAATTTTATATTTTTTGAATTGGAAACTGTTGGTTTAGCATGAAACAAAAAGCAGACAGTGCCTTAGGTCTGAAATCTAAGATCAGTATTCGGCTCTCCTCTGGGGCCTTGGCTTTATTCTGCCAAGTATCCTTGGCACCTCATGAAATACTCAACAGACTGGGCTCTTTAGAGACTCGTGTTGCTAGGGAGACTCACCATCTGTCAAGGTAGGCTGGTTATTCCTTTTCTATGTCTGTGAATGTGGGTGTGTTTGTATGCATCCCAAAAGTGGAGATTGGTACACTGGAGATTCCAAAGATAGATCAACTTCACACACACCTTGATGCTCGTGCAGGCAGTCATGTTGCTTAGTGGTGACTGTGTTTATATCTGTGCATCATTGTTTAAGTAATGGTTTTTAAAAGTACTAATCTCACTAGCTTGTCTGTAAAAAGTAACAACAAGCTGATTTACATCAGTGTTCCTACAAAACACCTTATTTTTAGAAGGACTCTGCCTATTGGAAAGGTTTAACTTGAAGAAATAACTGAAATAGATCAAAAGAATGAGCTAAAAGCTAATCTCAACACAGTCAAGACCAACATGGACTTAGTTCCAGTCACTAAATTTTCATACTTGTTAACTTGAATAACCTTTACACTTGTGTCAATTTCACAACACATTTATTTATATAGACTGTTGGGGTTATTCAGAAGCTCAAACAGCAACAATACGTATTTTGTCTTGTTTCATATTTCTCTCAAAAGAACCCCATACTCATAAACTAAAAGTGTTGTGGTAAACATTTGTATAGACTACATTAACAAAAAAGGTTGACGCTGCACAACATAGCAAAATTTGTCTGGCCCACACAATGCACTAACACTCTAACACCCTGCCAAGATACCACGAAGAATGATGGCTCTTTGGTGGCCCAGTTGTGGTTTGCCAGAGGTGGTCCAAGCATGGGCCAGTACCACATAAAGCAAACCACAACTGGACCAGTGACATGCCATCTTAAACTCGGCATTATCATTGGCAGATCTGGCCCACATCTGTCCGCAATGTGGGTAGCCATTATTAACTAGTATAATGGGATCGATTTCCATGTTCCCTAGTACCTACAGTTGTGTTCAAAATTATTCAACCCCCCCTACAGTAAAGTGTTGATGTTTATGTTTCATCTTGTTCACAATCAAGTCAAAGAAGGACTTTAATAATAAACACGTGCTACTTAAATTACAACAATATTCTTTCTAGTATATAAACAAATATCCTTTTTTTTTATTTCTTCATTGAAAAAATAATTCAAACCCTTAAAAATGGCCACTCTCAAGAACAGAGGTCTCAATTAGGTGTCTTCAGTCAGGTGTTGAAAGCACCTGCAGATGTGAACAAAGCCATAACGAGCAGCAATTAAGTAGATTTAAAAGGACTGAGATACTCAGCTCTTTCTACACAGTTAGTAGTGTCTTTGCAACATGGTGAAGTCCAGGGAATGGTCAAAGAAGTCAAGAGAAGAGGTCATTTCTCTTCATAAGCAAGAATGCAGATAAAAAAAAGATAGCAAAGACAGTAATCATTCCAAGAGACACAATCGGAAGCATAATTCGCAAGTTTAAAGCTAAAGGCACAGTGCAAATGCTACTTGGGCATGGCAGAAAGAGGTTGCTGTCAATGACTGCTGTCCATTACCTGAAACGAAAGGTGGACAAAAATCCCCGGCTGACAGCTGAGGCACTGCGACAGGACTTGTCAGAGGGAGGCACTCAGGTTTCGGCTCAGACGAGAAGGCACACACTGCGAGATGAAAGCCTCCATGCCAGAACTCCCAAACGCACCCCTCTTCTGACTCCAAAGCACAAGAAGAGTCGACTCCAGTATGCTGAAAATCATGTGGACAATCCACAAAGGGGTTGGGACACTGTTCTCTGGAGCGATGAGAAAAAATTGGAACTCTTTGGGCCTATGGCTCAAAGATACATATGTTCGYAGGAGGAAGAATGAGGCCTATAAAGAAAAGAACACCTTACTCACTGTGAAGCATGGTGGTCGGTTAGTCATGCTCTGGGGCTGTTTCGCGTCTTCTGGTACTGGAAATCTACACTGTGTGCAAGGTATGAATTCAGTTCAATACCAGGAGATCTTGTGTGAAAATGCCATGCAGTCAGTGACAAAGATGAAACTTGGGAGATGTTGGACCTTCCAACAACACAGTAATCCCAAGTAAATTAAGATAAGATAAATCTTTATTGTCATTGTCACAAGAACAACGAAATTTAAAAGGTGCCATCAGTCAGTGCATATGCTAAAAAGAAAAAGAAAAAGAAAAACTTGTCTCACACTTTACATATGCTGTAAGAAATACATAACAAATAAGTGATAAAATAAAAACTAATAAATAAGAATAACCACATTCTCACACACATCATTCATGATGATTAATGGTTATTTTGATTTCATTTAGTTTTTTTATTGCTGTAGGATAAAAACTGTCTCTGAGTCGGTTGGTTCTTGTTCTGATTGCTCTGTATCGTCTGCCTGAAGGCATCAGTGTAAACAGAGAATATCCGGGGTGAGAAGTGTCCTTTGTGATGTGTTGTGCCTTTTTAAGACAGCGGTCACTGTGCAAGTCCTCCAGTGAGGGGAGAGGACAGCCAATGATTTTTTGGGCTGTATTCACAACCCTTTGTAGAGCTTTCCTTTGAGCCGCAGTGCTGCTGTTATTCCATACGCAGATACAATAAGTCAGTATGCTCTCTATGGAGCACCTGTAAAAGGACACCAGCAGTTTCTCCTTGATGTTATTCTTCCTGAGAACCCTCAGGAAATACAGTCTTTGCTGGGCCTTTTTTGTCAGCTCGAAGGTGTTCATGTTCCATGTGAGGCCCTGCTCAATGTGGACCCCCAGGAAACAAAAGTCAGCTACCCTTTCCACACATTTTCCCCCAATGTTTAGTGGTTTAATATCCGTTCTTTRCCTCCTGTAATCTATTATGAGTTCTTTTGTCTTTGTGCTGTTAAGGAGCAGATTGTTCTCCCTGCACRACACTGACAGCCGCTCCACCTCATCTCTGTAGGCGGACTCATCACCGCCTGAGATGAGCCCCACTACTGTGGTATCATCAGCAAACTTGATAATGGTGTTGCTGTGGTGGGCAGAGGTGCAGTCATATGTGTACAGACAATAGAGCAGGGGGCTCAACACACAGCCCTGTGGAGAGCCAGTACTAAGGCTGAGGGCAGTGGATGTATGTTGTCCCACCCTAACTCTCTGCTGTCGGTTGGTCAGGAAGCTCATTATCCACATGCGGGTGGGGTGAGGGAGACCCAGGTCCCCCAATTTGTCCACCAGTCTGTGAGGGAGGATGGTATTGAAAGCAGAGCTGTAGTCCACAAAGAGCATCCGCACATAGCTCCCCTGCTGCTCCAGATGTGACAGAGCAGCATGGAGGGCTGTGGTGACAGCGTCCTCTGTGGATCTGTTGGTTCTGTAGGCAAACTGGTGGGGGTCAAAGCCAGGAGGGAGAAGTGCTGTGATATGACCCCGGACTAGTTTTTCAAAACACTTCATCACCACAGGGGTTAGTGCCACTGGCCGGTAGTCGTTGAGGCAAGAGATGTGAGGTTTCTTGGGTATGGGGACTATGGTGGAAGATTTCAGGCAGGATGGGACTGTAGACAGGGCTAGGGACTGGTTGAAGATCCTGGTGAAGACTCCAGCCAGTTGGTCAGCGCAATTACTACCAAATTCTACCAGGGCTTGGTGCAGAAGAAGGCTTGGAATATTCTGGAGTGGCCATCACAATCACCTGACTTAAATCCTATAGAAAATCTCTGGTGGGGCCTGAAGAAGGCAGTTGCAGCACGCTAGTACAACAATGTCAATGAACTAGAGGCCTTTGCCCATGAGGAATGGGCTAAAATGCATTTAGATCGCTGCAAGAAACTTGTGTCAAGCTATTATATATAAAAAAAATTCCCTTCTCACCCTCCGCGGGTGGTCTCTTTCATCCTCTGAGCTCGGGTCCTCTACCAGAGGCCTGGGAGCTTGAGGGTTCTGCGCAGTATCTTAGCTGTGCCTAGAACTGCACATTTCTGGACAGTTCTAGGCACAGCTAAGATACTGCGCAGAACCCTCAAGCTCCCAGGCCTCTGGTAGAGGACCGGAGCTCAGAGGATGAAAGAGACCACCCGCGGAGGGTGAGAAGGGAATTTTTTTATATAATGTGACCAGCTGATCAAAGAGCATTACAACAAAACTATTAGATAAGCAGAAATGACAGAACATTGAATGATGTAAAAAAAAAAAAACAGAATACATGTTTGGAACATAGGAATCACAGTCAATTTACACTATAACATTTAAACAGCCTGCACTTTATTTTTGTGCATATATATATATATATA